AATTTAATTCCTAATTCAATTTGATTTTATTTTCCTTAGTAAAAATTTCAGTACTTGAAGTAAACAAAATTCTACTCAAACTAATAATATTTAATGTTTAATCATAATGTTTACTTAAAATAAAATATTAAAAAAAAAAAATCAAATTTAATTCCTAATTCAATTTGATTTTATTTTCCTTAGTAAAAATTTCAGTACTTGAAGTAAACAAAATTCTACTCAAACTAATCAGATTTGGTGTTTACGTAAAGCTTCTCAATTATAATTATAATAATAATAATTTTTGCGCTCAACACTCAATTATGAAATTCTTTTCAAATGAAAACAAGCTTCAATTATCTGAAATTATCCCAACAATTATATATGAATGCGTGCATATCTATTTCTGTTTCTTATATCATTAACTAGAACTGAACTGGTTTACAATGATTAGCAAAAATCTGTTCTTTATATGATATACTTATATCATTCTTTGCAGTTTCACTATGAATGAGTTTGTCAAATGGTCAAGCAAAATTTATTCAATATTAATTTATTAATTTCTACATTTTAAAAAGGTCAACATTTATTTAGATAAATTATTAAAAAGAAAAAACATATTGTTGCATTATAATTTTTATTATTATAATTTTTTTTTTAATTTCCATTTAATTTGGCATTTATATTCATTCAAGATTCTTATTCAAAGTCACTTTTGCTGGCCATTCGACTGATCAACTCGAGCCAGCACCCATTATAAACAACTTGTCTAAGTTTCTTACTCAGCCATCATATCTGATTATCATTTAAATATTTAATCCATTGCGATAAAAATTGCGACATCACTTAAAATGATCATCTTTAGCACCTGTTACTGCTGCTGCTCACCTGCGCCTGGGCTGTCAGACTCATTTAAATAGATTTGTAATTAATGCAGCTACCAGATTTGCAGAGACCTGTTCGCTGCATGCATCGAGTGCTCATAAGCAATAATGATCGTAGATCACACGAGAACCTCACACTTGACGCTTTTCCACGGTTTTACTTTAGTTTTATCTAATTTGGGGTCTTGATTCATCTGCGGTTTCTGCTGTTGAATGAGTGCTCAACAATTTGAGTACTCACTAGTTGTTGTTGTTGTTGCTTGTGTTGGTTTTACTCATGTTTGTTGCCATGTTATATGTTAATCAAATTTGATTGCAAATTTTGTTTTAATTAAATGCGCAAACTTCAAATATTTACAAGTAGTTATTATAGTTATTTTGTTTTTTTTTTCTTTTCATTTTTTTTTTTTTCGTCGATTGCAGCCGCAATTTGTTGTGCGATAATTGCAAAAGTTCAGATTTGCATAAAAAATAAAAACTGAGTTGAGTCTGCCAAGTCTGTTTGCCTTGCCAAACAGATGCCAATTACGAGATACACATGCAACGCACTTGAAGATACATTTGTATCTGGACGTTGTGCACTTTTCGATATTCGCACGTATTATTTACACTTCAAAAATAATTGTGCATTCATTTCTGCAGCTGATTTACAGATAGACTTGCTTTGCTTTTTCATCGTTTTAATAACTCACACTACGCACTTGTTGTAATTAGACTCGTTGTTGTTGTTGTTGCGGTGGTGGATCGGCACGCGCGTCTCTTGGACGAAAAGCTCCGCACGTTCGGCTGCCAAAATTACGACTGAAACCTTTGCCAGTTGGGCCAAACGCTTGAAGACGCCAAAAACTGAGCATGCGCAGCCGACGCAAGCAGCGAACAGCGAACAGCGACTGCGACGCAGACAGCGACTGCAGCAGTGATATCTCTTTGATATTTGTGATTCTGTCTTCTTCTTCTTCTTCGCCGTTAAGAGACGTCGCCGTTGGCGCACGTTCGAGCTCAGCTGCGTTTGACTTTCGGTTTCAGTTTGATTTCGTTTTCGCTCCGCTTGTCCGACTGGAGCCCGGCTTAGTCGCAGCTGTAGCTGAGGCTGAAGCTGAAGCTGAAGCTGTGGCTGGTTTCTCGGTCTCAGTCTCTTCGAGTCGACTCTTAACTGGTTCGCATTTGGCTGCTGTCTGTCTCTCTTAAAGCGTCGTGGCTGAGTGTGCTTCTATTGAATATGGGTTCGTTTCGGCGTCGCAGTCACTGGTGCAGTGTGTTAGCTACTTGAGTTACCTGTGTTTACCTGCGCCAATCGCCTTCGCTTTCGTCTGCGCCTTGCAACTCGCCACTTGATGCCACTTTTGGGCATTGTTGCCAATTTTTTAATGGTGACGTTTATGTTTAAGTTATGATGCCATCTTTCTATCATGTGCTGCCTGTTACTATTTCTGTTGCTGTGCGGTTGCTTGCTGAGTGGGTCATTACGGCATTGTTTATGTCTGGTCTACGATGCTCGAAGCGTGCCTGTCTAAAGAACGTTATGTGCTTCGTTATTTTTGTTTGTCTTCTCATCACAAATTTATTTCGTTGGAAAAAATGTTGTCAATCGGGTGTGGTAGAAGGGGAGGATTGCGAAAAATGTGTGGAAATACTTGGAGGATATTTGAGAGCTTATTAGGAAGCTGTTTGATAAAGTTCTTCGCCAACACAGCCTATTAAATTTAATAAACTCAAATGCAATTCGGGGAATTGTGTAGTTGTAATTGGTCTGTATCTGTATCTGCATCTGTATCTGTATCTGTATCTGTATCTGTATCTGTATCTGTATCTGTATCTGTATCTGTATCTGTATCTGTATCTGTATCTGTATCTGTATCTGTATCTGTATCTATATCTGTATCTGTATCTGTATCTGTATCTGTATCTGTATCTGTATCTGTATCGGTATCTGTATCTGTATCTGTATCTGTATCTATATCTGTATCTGTATCTGTATCTGTATCTGTATCTGTATCTGTATTTGTATCTGTATCTGTATCTGTATCTGTATCTGTATCGGTATCTGTATCTGTATCTGTATCTGTATCTGTATCTGTATCTGTATCTGTATCTGTATCTGTATCTGTATCTGTATCTGTATCTGTATCTGTATCTGTACCTGTATCTGTATCTGTATCTGTATCTGTATCTGTATCTGTATCTGTATCTGTGTCTGTATCTGTATCTGTATCTGTATCTGTATCTGTATCTGTATCTGTATCTGTATCTGTATCTGTATCTGTATCTGTATCTGTATCTGTATCTGTATCTGTATCTATCTGCCCAACAGGATATCCCTTGACATAATAACTAAAGCACAATCTTTCTAACTTAGCCACACTATATATATACTCGCATATATATTTTCTTTTCAATTGCGCTTCGATGTAAGATTTATTCATCCTAAAGATTTATTTATTGATTTCAGTCGCTTGACTCCAACAGGCCATAAGCTGTTTCCCCCCGCTAGATGCCTCGTGTGGCACACCCGTCTTGGCCGGCGTGCATTGCCTCCCACCCAGCTACAATTTCAATTTGCGGTCGTGGTCGGCATCTTGGCCCGATCCATGGGCAAGTGGCAAGTGCACTGTAATTGGCCCCGTCCAGTGCACGACTCTGGCTTGAAATCAGGCTCAGAGCACGACCGACATCGCCAAAGCGACCAAATCGGCTAAAAAGACGTCAAAAACGACGGAATCGATACGCAATTTTTTATGGTCGGGGCCACAAGGTTAGTGGATTTGTGGATTTGTGTGCACTCTCTGCTGTGTGTGTCCGGTGCGTTTTTTGCGTTATTTTGCCATTGGTATTGCTATTGATTTTCATAGCTTTTTATGGCAGAGATTTGCAATTATGAATGGTTCAGTGCGGCGCGAGCTGCATTCTAAATGTCAATGTTATTGCATAGCTACAGCGCGTATCTGTGAGATACTTTTCGTTCACAACTGGCTGCAATTGCTGTTGTTGTTGTTGTTGTTGTTGTGGTTGCTATTGCTGCAGCAACTGCAACTGTGACAGGCGGTTGTCTTTTTGGTGTGTGCTCATGTGGAATTTCCGCTATTCAAAACACGAATGCGACGCACCTTAAAAGCCACCGACTCCAACGACTCCACACAGCGTCTGAGCACAGATATTGGAAAGAAAAATACTTGAGTTGTATTTAAAAACGGGTAAAGATAGAAAAAGAAAAAAATAAAATAAAACAAAAACTATAATAAAATAATAAAAGTAAATTCATGCACTTGGAGCTCATTGAGCGCCATAAATAATGTGCTTTGCCATTGTGCGTTGGCTGAGTTTGTTGCTTCGCAGCGCGTTTCTTGACTCTGGCTGAGAAATCAAATCAATCATTTTGCACGGAACGCCACTAAAAAATGCAATTGTTTAAGCCAGGTGGGTGTGTGTTTCGGGTGTGAGTGTGTGTGTGAGTGTGTTAGTGCTTGTGTATGTGTGTACTGTTATGACAACATCAACAAAGCGCAGCGATATTAAAGCGTTTAATTAACACAAAAGAGTTCAACAACAAGCAGCAGAGACAAGTAAAAATCGCTCATACGCTCCGTTGAACTTCAAGAGAAACACGCACAAGGAAAATCCAAAAAGTGAATATCCATGTGAGTGTGAGTGTGTGTGCGTGTGTGCGAGTGCCAAG